CACTTCATAGAAACCACAAGGTGGGTCTTGATGTTCTGTGGTATGTTTGAAATTTTCTGTAAGAAAATATAGATGAAAATCCTTTTGGCCTGACTCCATGGCTTATACTTATAACTATTAAACAGCACAGATTCCCAGCTGAATCATATTACTACTGCCTCTTATTTTGGGAAACATACAAAACTGTCATCATAAAACCAACTTGATGTATCCACACCCATTCACAGTGCAGTGACTCTTAATTTGGCTTTTTTCATACACATTCAAATCCAAAAAAGCTAGTAGTAACCCTTTTAGAAGAAACCAGTGTGGAAAACAGCTAATGTCTAAGGAGAGCAACATGAACTTGAACTTGGTTGGCTTCTCTGTTGAAGGTACCAGTCAAGGTCTAAATACCTTATATTATTATTATATTATATTTAGAGGTGGTGCTTACCCTAAAGTGGAACTGGGCCTCACAACAACTTAAAGCAGCCCTTAAATTAACAAAATTTAGAATAAGATACCTCCAGTTGTAGCTGTTGAATTATTTTGAATATTAGGTCACTCGTGCCAATACCATTAAAATTAGGTGGTGGGAAATTAGTCCTATCACTAACTATGTCAGAAAACGGAGCCAAGTCATGTAACCTTTTTTCCCTACAATACAGGGAAAATAAAACTGTTCCACTTACCTCATACGGTCATGATGATTTTAAACACAACCAACATTAGAGCTAGAAGGTATGATCAGATCATTTAGTTGAATGTTCTTTTATATGTAAGATGTATGCGATACAAATGGGAGGTAAGAGGCATCAGAATATCATAGAAAGAATGTATGTTTAGAATCTGCTACCTCCATAAATAAGAGTGCATCACCATTCCCTCAAATCCAAGTCTCTACAATTTATTTAGTCACACAGATATCCCTAGTATCAAGCATGCCCCTAAAATGGGTCAGTATTACAACCACAAACCCCACTGTATTTAAGTTCATTCTGACTTAGAGCAATCGTATGAGACACAAGATCGCTGTTCTACAGTGTTTCCAAGACTGTAGATCTTTACAGCACCAGACAGCCTCATCTCTTTCCAATGGAGCAGCTGGTGGGTTTCAAATGCCAACCTTGCGGTTGGCTGCTTAATAACCAATCCACTATGCCACCAGGTTTCCATACCATGCAGTGAAGGACAAATAAATAAGAAGCAGAATGTTAGAGCGTTAGAAATGTATTTTTTGTTGAGAGGAGGCTCATGAACAACCTAGTATAACTAGAGCAGGGATTAATTACTGACTGGCACATATGCATACAGAGAACTACTAGAAATTAATTTTAAAAAAATCTTCAGGCAACTGAGAGGAAATGTTAAAAAAATGTTGTTTCTTTACATATTCACAGGAACGCTGGTGGCACTGGCACTGTTGGTAAGTGCAGGATTGTTAACCTCAAGATCAGTGGTTCAAGTCCACCAGGTGCTGCGAGGGAAAGGTAAGGTTGTAGGTTCCCATAAAGATTTACAGCCTCAGATACCTATATGGGTCACTCTGAGTCGGAATCGACCTGATGGCATCGGGGCTTTTGTGGCTTCCATATCCCTCTGACCATTCATGAGAGTAACTATCATTTTTCTTGTAAGAAGAAAAGGGAACATCTGTATTATGTGACAGGCTTCAAAAAGTTTGGGGGAAAATTCCATTCTTTCAATTCTATTTTTCCAGGAAGTTTTTGTAGCTCCCTTAAAAATGCTCTGTAGGATGTTCTTGGCTGCTGCGCTCCTTATAGAAGTCGATCACCAGGCTGCTCTTCTGCAATACTACAGGATAGGTTTGAATTACCAACCGTCAGGTTAGTAGTTGAATGCAAACTGGGCTTCCAGAAGCCTATTTGTATAGCAGGTGCATTCAAATCAGCTTCCAAGAGATCAGGAAGAGGGGTGGTAAGTAGCAGTAGAGAAAAATAAAAGGGTCTGGTGACAGGAGAAGCAGACACTAGTAGTAATGTGTGGGTGGAAGATAAGACGTAAATCTTTTTTTAAAAATGTAAATCTTAAAAAAAAAACGGAGGGTACTCTACAAACTTCTGTTAAGAATTATTAGCAATTTAGATCCCAACAATACTTCCTAGGCTTGGACTACAAGCCAGCTACCATCTTTTCACATGGTAAATCAGGTCATCCTTCAATGTTTGGAACTGACAGTATTTCAGTACTTAGTTACTGAGGCCCATAGTTACTGTATACACTCGAATGTACGCTGACCTGAATATCAGCCGAGGCACCCAATTTTACCACAAAAACTGCATTAAAAATGTGCTGAAAACTTGGCTTATACACGACTATATACAGTATCTACATTCTGTAAAATGTAAGCCTAGAATAAAGACCTATAGCTTATGTACTTCAAAAACTGCATAAAAAATGTGCTGAAAAACTTGGCTTATATGTGAGTATATACGGTATCAACATTCTGTAAGATGTAAGCCTAGAATAAAGGTCTATAGCTTACGTACTTCAAAAACTTGAAAAAAAACATATTTGCACAAGATAAGCCTTACCGAAGCTTACTAGAATGATAAGGTTTTTGGGGGGTGTAGGGGTGGGTGGTGGGGACTGTAATTTAGGTAGATTAAATGAGGTGATGCTAAATATTTCATGGTAACGAAGTTATGATCGGTAGAAGCAATGTGTTACCACTTAGTAAACTAGGTTGTTTGAAATATTTTAGGATATGAAATTCATAGGAAAAATAGTAAAAGTGATTACCTGGTGATACAGAGGTAGTGATTTGATGTTTAGTACCTGATGTTTACCTTTGGCCTGATGTAAAGATTTTTTACCCAGTGGGATCTTTGATCCAATGCTCGTTATTGCTCTCACTGACACAAACATTCATATACCCAAACTTATGACATAACCCACCTTCCCATCAAGCAGCCGGGCACAATTAGAACAAGAGTTTCATTATAGGGAAGTGCAGATAACACAACAAACACTGTTTCCACACTTTAGATTTCCATTCAGACAAGCAGAGGCGGGAATGGAAACGACTACCTGGGGTGAATTGCCTCATAGCCTGAGTTTTCGACAAAGGAAACTGCTTCTCTGGTCAACAGACATGAATCGAGAGGTGGGCAGTATATAAACATTCAGCCTCAAAGCTATGAACCATAAAAAAGAACAGGAATAAATACATGCTGCACATTCTAGGGTCTCTGTGATCAAAGTAATATGATAATAAATATAATAATTTCTTTTTTGTGTGTGTGATGATTACGCAACTTAAAAATATATTTAAATCATTGAATTATATGAGAATTATATGTCAATTAAACTTAAAAAATCATTTTATTGGGGGCTCATACAACTCTTTTTTTTGGGGGGGGGCTCATATAACTCTTATCACAATCCATACATCTACCCATTGTGTCAAGCACATTTGTACATTTGTTGCCGTCATCATTCTCAAAACATTTGCTTTCTGCTTGAGCCCTTGGTATCAGCTCCTCATTTTCCCCCTCCCTCCCTGTAAATATAATTTCTAGAGTGCCCCAAACATATCTACATTTAGCTGACTTGGGCTTGAGGCAGGCTTGAGGACCTACATGTGCTGTCACAATCATGAAAGAAGAAAAGTTAATATTGTTTTCTTCTTTCCCAGATTCGATCTGGCAAAGATTCTAGAACTGGTGGTATACTCCGTGCTTGTTTGGGCAGTGATCTCGGGCAGCTCAACCCTTTTACCACCTCACCTCCAGCATCTACCCAGCCTCCACCTGACAAGTAAAACCAACCACACTAACCCCACTGCTATGAAGCCATTCCAACTCACAGTAACCCTACAGGACAGAACTGAGGCTTAGGGTTTCCCAGACTGTAAATCCTTCTGGGATTTAATCTTTCTCCCAGTCAGGCAGCTAGGAGGTTTGAGCTGCCCAGTCCAACACTTAGTCCTCACCACCACCAGGGCCTCTCCCAAACAGCGGGAGGAAAAGCCCCTCAATTTTCTCTGTTAGGAAATTCCTTTCCACTATAATAGCTGTGATGGAAAGAGTGGGGAGCTGGAACAATTCAAATAGTTTTATGACCTTGGGCAAGGCATTTCCTTCTCTTAGGTCTCAGTTTTCTTAACTGTAGATAAGAGAGTTGGACCCTATCAGTGGATTTCAAGCACACACTGCAGAGCCCTGGAGGTCCAACAGAACCTCATCAGGGATTGCGGAAGAAAGGGTGTCAACTAGCAAAAGCCTTCAGGTGCACCTCCTTTCCCCTTTAATCAGAGCAGCTCTGAGCTCTTATGTGTATTTATGTAGCTTCAGATAACGTTCAGGAAGAGAAAACTCCTTAACATGACACCCGGCACAGAACAGGAACTCCTATCACTCAATGAATGAAAACCAAAGGGACCGGGATGATGTGTAAGACCTTTCCACTCGCCCTGGCATGGCCCTGTAGGTACTTAACCGCGTGCAGGAGTTACAGTCAAGTCTTCTGCAGAGGCACCATGGATTCCTCTGCACTTGCTTTCATCTTAGGGCAGTGTTTTCACCCTTTCACAGGGGTCGTCGGTTCATAACAGTAGCAAAATTAGTTATGAAGTTGCAACAAAAATAATTTTATGGTTGGGGGCTCACCACAACATGAGGAATTGTAGTAAAGGGTTGCAGCATTAGAATTGTTGAGAACCACTGTCTTAGAGAAAAGTATGCCTCATCCTGATTTTAGAAAATGACTTCCTGCAATCCCTGGGCACAAAGAGTCAAGTCGTTGGAAAGGAGAGAACAGCTCTGACAATGTGGCAAGAAGTAACTAGTACATGGTTACAGAGTACTCAAGTCTGCTCCTACAGAAGACTCTCAAGTAAGAAAAGTGACACCTAACAGACTAGTACCAACACCACAACCTCTTCAAAACTAAGTTAAAACATAAGTAAAAGATCCAACCCTTGAAAATTCTGTGCATATAATCTCAGCAAGTACACCAGTTTTGCAGGCAATGAAGAAAGGTGATTTAAGACTTACTCTGTGATTTTGGGGTCCAGGTTGCCGATCCATAACCGGTGCCCTTCCTGTAGGGAACCCTCCGAAAGGATAGATGCATTCTCCAGGGGAAGAGTTTTGGTTTCTGCTTCCATCAATCTCTATGCAATACTAAGGGAAATGTGAACATTCAGGAAGGAGAACAGCAACACTGTGTGAACATGAGCCTTCAAATTCAATTCAATAGACATTTATTCAAGGAGGGCATGCACACCCTGCTGGACCCCTTCCCCCACCCCCGGGCAGTCCAGCAAAGTCCTTAGTTATACCACAACCAGGGCCCCAGCATCAGTTCCCTTGGGATAGATCTTCTGGCAGCTAGAACACAGAAGCTGCCATTCAAGGTGAAAGGGGGTGAGATTCTGTGTGTAGATTCTGCGTTGTCCTCCTGAACGCATGCCACAGGCTGACTGGGCAGGAGGCCAAAGTCTCTATTAAGCACAGCTCGATACTCTATTTCAACAACCAACACCCAAAATAAGCCTTGGAAGCCACCAGGAAGAAAGTCTTAAAGGCACTAAAGGGAATGGCAGGGGGAAGAGTAGCAATCTATCTCCTTTCCCCATGGAAGAGGGGCAAAAGCAAGAGGAAGATGCAGTATAAGAAAATTTAAGTGCCTAGATTTCAGAGTTAGACATGAAAGTAGGTTGTGTGAGTTGGCAAATTACCTGAACTTTCTAGGCCTGTTTATTCTGGAAGTTGAAATAATAATAACTCTTATTTTATAGGGCCAGAATGAGAATTCAAGATAGTAACCTAAAAAAATCACTAAAACTGGACCAACCAATCAATATTAGCTATTTAAGGAGCCTGGGTGGCACTTTTGGGGTAAGCATTGGAGTGTTGTTGGTTCAAAATCACCAACTGCTCTGAAGGAGAACAACGAAGCTGTTTCCATAAAGATTTCTAGCTTCGGAAACCCGATAAAGGATTGCTATGTGTCAGATGACATTCAATGACGGGTTTTGGCATTATCAATGTTTAATAGTAGGATGTTTAAGAGTAGGATGAAAGGACTAACCCTTCACCTTAGTTATCCAAATTCCACCACTTATTAACTTTGTAACCCTGGTCAAATTAATTAACCATTCCATGCCTTAGTTTCTTCATTTGCAAAATGAAGATAATACTTCATAACTGTTGTGAGGATCCAGTGAGTATCACTAAAGCACTTAGAGTACATGGCACTAGCAAGTATTCAATTAAAGTTAGCTATAATGTTAGTTAGCTTTAATTTCTTTCCTGAAATGTCTTCTGTCCCAGACAAGACAGGAGCATGCAGGTTATGATGAAGGTAGTAGTGGAGAGAACAAAAAGCTTGCTGCCTGAGGCCTGGTTTGAAATTTTGCCATTTCCACTGGTAGTCAATTCTCTCTAAGTTTGTTTTCTCATCTCTGGATAATTAACCATGTCCTGCTTATAGCTTAAGGTGGCTGAGAGGATCAAAAATGAGGTGGTACTCCAGGACAGATGACTCCTTCAGGATCAGTGGTGAGAGTGGCGATGCCTGGAGGGTGGAGGGAATGTGGGGTAGAAAGGGAGAACCGACTACAAGAATCTACGTATAGCCTTCTCCCTGGGGCATGGACAGCAGAGAAAGGGCAGGGGGAGTTGTCAGACAGTATAACATATGACAAAATAATCATAATTTGTGAATTATGAAAGATTCATGAGGGAGGGGGGAGAGGGGAGGGAAGGGGAAAAATGAGCAGCCGATATTAAGGGCTCAGGTGGAAGGCAAGTCTTTTGAGAATGATGATGGCAACAAATGTACATATGCACTTGACAATGGATATATGTATGGATTGTGATAGGAATTGTACGAGCCCCCAATAAAATGATTTTTAAAAATGAGATGGTATATTTAAAATACAGTTTTAGTAAGTGTCCAAGGTGGTGGGGAAAGACAGAATAAAGACAAGCTGTCCTACAACTCTGCTGGTGAAAAGACGTGCCTGACATACCCAAGAACTCAGCAATCAGGATCGCAAAAACTCTCAATAATGACGGCTCAATATACTGAAGACAGCCACCACCTCTTATTCATCTCAGCACATCTACGAGGGCCTAACACCCAGGAGGCTTTAGGTAAATGTTTGCTGAATGCATGCAGCCACTTCTTGCAGATGAGCATATCCCACCCCCCACCCCCTCATGTGTTCGTGAGACAAACAACTACCAATTGCAAAACCCTGGACTCTGTACTGGAAAGAAAAGAATATGCTACAGTTCTTGCTCTCCTGAAAAGAAGGCGACAGAACCATCAACTCAAAATCCCAGAAGAGGAGACAGAGGAGAAACATTTTGTCTACCTGCTTTCTTTTCCTCCTACTCTCTTGCAGATTCTTCATTTTAAAAATATCCATTAAACTCCTATTTTCTAGGCATTGCCTAGGCTTTAGGGAAACAGTGGTGAATAAGCAAGGTCTTTGCCCTTAGGATGCCTGCATTTGGGAGGAGTGGGGCAAAACAGGCAAAACAAATGAACACGATATATTTAGTGATCAGGACTGCAAATCCAGAGACTGGGATTGAGTGATTGAAGATTGAGCGAAGAGGGAAGCTTTATGATCCTCTCACGTTTAAAACCAGCAATAAAACCATCAGCCACTAAATCTACTAGGTGCCATGGGAAGAATTCGGGATTCCAATGCTGGCCCTTCCACCTAGTGACTGTGTGACTTTAACAAGTCACTCTGGACGGTCCTCTCCTGGGAAAAGCTTTCTCAAAGACCGTGTTATTCTCTACCACTGCCACCCCTTACTCTCCGGACATACACAGCTAATCCTGTCTTTATTTTACCATTTTGTTTAGGGTTTTATCTTCTGCATCCCTCCCTGGAATGGAAGTTCTAAATGGGCAGGACATCGCCTATCTTGGTTAAGGTCCACTGCCTGGCTTATCTTGGCGCTCAATATTTACGGACTGCATAAATGGAGCAGGACACTTCACGGGGTCCCTCAGTTTGTTTCCTAGAATGGGCATAATTACCCCTAGTTCATGGGTCGTTGAGACAAGACGTATGACAGCTAAGCACTGGGCTTTCTGAGGCACCGGCGGATGGTGATGAAAGACGGCAGTCGTCTACCGAAATCCTCTGGGTTTGCAATGGCGACCACCCCTGGGCTAAGAGAGCGCAGAACGTCTCTCCACTGCACCACCCCGCAGGCCAGGAAGAGCCACCCGGGGAAACGGAATGCCCGGGAAGCAGAGGGACTTGTTCCTACAAACTGAGGGATTAGCCCGGGATCCTGGCTTCCCGACACCTGGCCGCGAATTCCTAGCAGCCGGGGTCATCACTCGGATTGTTATTTCCGGGCCAGCGGCGGGACAATCCGGGGCGGGGCCTGAGACAATCTCGAGCTCCGGAGGCCTCCTCTGCGACCCCGGCGGAGCTGTCGCGAAAGTGTCGCGACAGAACGCGACCAGGCTCACCTCGTGGCTGCGACGGCGTCCCTCGGCTCATGCCCCAATGACCGGTCCCGACGGCACGACTCCGCGGTCCCCTCCAGGTACCTCCGTCTCCACACCACCCGCTGCCAGGCCACCCGTGACGCGTTACGCCCGCGCCACCGCGCTGCCTCGTGACGTCACGACGCCCACGCCTCCTCCGGCGCCGCCGTTCGCGTGAGCGTTTCCCTAGCACCGGGGTCGGGAGCCGGTGAGTGGCCTCGGTACCACCTGGAGGCGTGCGCGGGGCCCGGGTTCCAAAGACCCCCCCCATTCAGAGATCGCTGGGGGACCCAGGGTGCCTGGTTCCCGTCTCCTGACCCGCGATCCGTTTCACGTGGGTCCGGCTTGACCTTTCCGGCCGGGGTGCGTGACCTGTCGCTTCCGACCTACCTCGCGCGCTGGGAGCGGGGCCCGTCTCACCAGCTCGTAATTTAGTGGCTGAGTGGTGGAGGCGCCTTGCCAAAAGCCCTGTCCTGTATTCGGTATTCAGAACAATCCTGTGGAGAGAGGTATTCTTCCCCAAGATGAAACGGACGCGCAGGTCACTTTGCCAAGGTGACGTGACTACCAAGTGTTGCAGTTCCATTTCAAGCCCAAGTCCGACTTCAAAGCTTGGATTTTTAACCTAGTGGCAAACCAGTTCTCATCTCAATAGCCCTTCTGCAGCAACAAAGTATTTATGTAGCTGTGAAGGCTTTGAAAGTTACCTGCTTCAATCCTGCCACATCCTGACAAATAGTTTCTCTTTTCGTATGCCCTGTAAATGAGTTGCAAGGAAGTCAGCGGGAGAGCCGGCCCACGTGCTTTTTGAACACAAGATGGTTATGAATCTTAAGAGAGAGCGAGGTAGTAGGGAGTGACAAGGTAACAATATTGGTATCCAGAACTCCTGTCCTCGAGGCAAAAACTCTTGTCTTTACCTGTTCAAGTTTCCCATCACTCCCAGAGGAGGACTGATGGCCCAGTGGTTAAGTGTGCAGCTACCAACGAAAAGGCTGGTGATTTGAACCCACCAACTGCTCTGTGGGAGAGATGTGGGTCTGCTTCCCTAAAAATTACAGGCTTGGAAACCTTATAGGGCAGATGGAGCCGATGGCAATGGGTTTTCTTTTGGGGGACTTTACAGAAGAGTGATCCTTGTCTCAGAACAATGCAGCCAACTAAGGCATAATAGAAGCAGTATGGGAAAGTAGGGCCCAGGACTAGTTTCTAATTCTGGTGCCAGCAATGCGACACCAGGCAAGAACTTAATCTTTTGGGGCTTTCAGTCATTTATTTGTCACAGTAATTCAGTAGCTTCTGGGTTCTGACACCATGGTAGCTAGGCATTGAGGATACAGTAGTGAACAAGACAACTGCAGGTTCATTTTAGTGTTGTGGAGGGAGAAAGAATAATCCCATGATTACACAAGTGTTAACTATACTGTTAAAAATAGATGTTATGAATAAGTGTAATGTGTTATGAAAGCGGTCTGCAGGAAAGCTGATCTAGTATTTGGAGTAGAAGAGATGGTCACAAAAGTGATGGTTAAGCTGAAATCCGCAAGAAAAATGGTAAGGCAATGAGAGAGGTAAAGGAAGATCATTCCAAGCAGATTCCAAAGAGCCAGGTTTGAAGGCCTTGGAGCAAAAGGAGTATTTGAAGTCATGAAAGGTCAATTTGCTTTTTGTGAATTATGGGTGGTAATCATTACTTTTTGGTTATTCTGAGAATCAAAAGACATAGGGCCTATATACATATACATGCACATTCATATTCAATAATATGTATATGGTGTAAACTAATATACAAGGGTAATTCAAAAAGTATGAGTGGTTTATTTCATAAATGCACAAATTTATTTCAAACAAAATATTTAAACATCTCAATGATCAGGGGATAAGAACTTGCAAACTAGTTCTTTCAGTAATACTTGTCAGCCTCAAGGGATCTTTAAAAACAAAAGGTCTAAACAAAACAGTGCCTTCCAAGGGGATCTACTGGGCCAGTTAAATCCAAGGCAGAAAAACCAAATCAGAAAGTTATAACTGTTTTTGGAGCCTCCAAAGGGATAATCATGATAGGTCTTCTCAAAGAAAACAAGATGATCATGAGGACTTATTGGGAAGAAAATTTAAGAACATGAAAATCTGCTTTGATGAGAAAAAGGTCAAGAAAGGTTGGTTGGTTTGTTTGTCGCTCCTCGTCCCTCCCCGCCCGCCCCCATCATGACATTGCCCCTGCTCTGTCTTTGAAAGTGGCACGAGTTGGGAAACTTCTCCATCCACCTCACAGTGCTGATCTTGCCCCTTCAGAGTTCCCCCCATTTCCCATAAACTCAAAGAACTTGTAAAAGGAATATTATTGCTACTTTTTGGCAAGGTGTAAGTCATGAAGAGCATAGAATTCTTTGGGGGAGGGGACAGAGAAATGGAAACACAACCCTAACAAGAATATTGACCTAGATGGGGGATATGTGGAGAAGTAATAACTTCACATTTTAATATTTTTGTTTAATAAAGGCTTATGCTTTTCTAGCAATATTTTTTAAAATTTGCTTTCATACAGCTGGATTAGGGGTGGGGTGGGGCTTGCTGTGACAGTGAGTAACTGGGATCTAGTTCTTTCCAAAATTAAAATTCTTCAATGAAGAATAAGACAATTCAAGTTCTTGAGACAATAAATTTTGGACAAAAAATGTGCACTTCAAGTAATTAAAAACTATTTCAGTAGTGTAAATAATACTATCATAGGTACTATTTATTGTGCACCTACTGGATGCACTCAGACCTCTATGGACACAGTCTGGTGTAGTGGGAAAGAGTACAGATTTCCCCAAATAAAACCTTGGGCATATTATTACTCAGAATACTTACATGGTTATCATGAGGATCAAGTGTACATAAACCACTTAGAATAGTTTCTGGCACTTGGCTCATTAATAAATATTAGTTCTCACTATTATTATTATTATCTTTTGTAAAGGCTCATCAGTAAAACCTTGGTGCTGTGCAAACTAGCTTAGTGGGATTAAGTAACCTACAAAAGGTCCCATAGCTAGAAAGTAGAGGAACTGAGACTCATGTTCAGTACAGCTGCTAGAGCCCAGATGCTTTATAGCACATTATTTCTGCCTATTGGTTAATTTTGTTGGGTAATATTTAGGCTACCTAACAGTTTCTTTCTTCGACCTTAATTCTTCATCTGTATAGAACTGAGTGTTAACATGTCTGTCCATAAGGCAAAGGGCTCAAGGGAGTGCCTTTATTGAACTTCCACTATGAAATTGCCTGACTTCTGTGCGGTTAAAATATACGCCTTAAAGCATTTAAGCCATGTAGTTTATTTATAGAGTTATCTTCCGGTTCACGTGTACTGGATCTGCTTTTGGGTGCTGTGTTTTCTGTCAGAGGTTGTTTATTTCTAACGCATTTTGATTTCCTGTTGCTCTGTGGATTCATGTTATGACCTGCAACAGGAACACCAGGAAACCCTTCTTAAATGGAGCAGTTCAATTGAGACCCCGTGGGTTAAAAAAATGAACCAAAAAATGACACATTATTATATAGCCATATTTGGATATCAGTGTCGGTTAGATACAAACCTAGATATAGAAACCTTATCCAGAGCCAAACTTTTGTGAGCTGTTCTGCTGAAATAGGGCAGAGATGCTGGCTGCATGCTCTTGGATCATAACTTACTTTCTTTGAGCCTCAGTTTTTAAATCTGTAAAATGGAGGATCATCATACTTGCTTTGTGATATTATTAAGGTGATCGAATGAAATAATATTGATAAAATGAGCAGTCTGAGTCTGACCTCAATTAATACTAACAGTCTCGCAAACTCACAGGGGTGGATTTACCCTGTTATTGGGTCCCTATGACTTGGCACCAACAACAGTGAGTTTTTTCAGATTGGCAATAGTAATTAAGGAAGAGAAGAAAATGATATGCCTTGCTTTTCATCTCTGTTTTTGTGTACTTTGTATAGTGATCGTTGGTAAGTAGCATCTATCGTTGTTAACAATCATGTGAGAAGAAATTACTTGCCTGTGTTCATTTTTTAAATTAAAAATTTTTTTAAATTAAAACCAATTTTTAAAAATTAAAACAAAAAGCATAACCACTTCCATCAAGTTGATTCCAAGTCATAATGACTCTGACCAATAGGACAGAGTAGAAACGCCTCTTTGGGTTTCTGAGACTTTGAATCTTTACGGGATCAGTCTCACCTGTCTCCCATGGAAATGACTGGTGGGTTTGAACTGCTGACTTTGTGATTAGCAACTCAAAATGCAACACACTGCGCCACCAGGGCTCCTGATGATAATAATAGCTACTTCTTATTAATCAGCTGCTGTCTTCAAAGTACCGAGGTGTTTCACAAGCAGCCTGGTGTCATTTTAAGATTGGGATTATTTTTCTCACTTTGCTGATGCAGGAAGCCATGGCCAGAGAAAAAGAGCGAATTCCCCAAAGCTGAAATTTGCACCCAAGTTTGACTGGAGACTACCTTGCACATCAGTGATAACTTAAAAGATTTCTTATTAGCTGTGTTCGATCCTGGCATGAAAATCTTGGAAAGGAAAGGCATTAGCTATCTATAGGCACCATTTTAGCTGCTCCTTCTGTCTGCTGGGCCTTGTGCCAAGTGGTGTATCTGCATAACCTCACCTGTTCTCAGAATGCTAAGAAATAAGTATTGTGCCCATTTTACAGTTGAAATCAAGCTGAAGAAAGATTCACGAGCATTTTTAAAAATCGTTTTATTAGGGGCTCATACAACTCTTATCACAATCCATACATACATCAATTGTGTAATGCACATTTGTACATTCATTGCCCTCATCATTCTCAAAACATTTCCTCTCCACTTAAGCCCCCGGCGTTAGGTCCTCATTTTTCCCCTCCCTCCCCGCTCCCCTCTCCCTCTTGAGCCCTTGATAATTTATAAATTATTATTTTGTCATATCTTGCCCTGTCTGACGTCTCCCTTCACCCACTTTTCTGTTGTCCATCCCCCAGGGAGGAGGTCACATATAGCTCCTTATAATCGGTTCCCTCTTTCCAACCCACTCCCTCTACCCTCCCAGTATCACCACTCACACTACTGGTCCTGAAGGGATCATCTGCCCTGGATTCTCATGGGCATTTTTTTCAGTCATTGGTGGTAGCAGGATTTGATTCCAGATCTTCCTCACTACAAAGCCCATGCTGTAAATCACTCCATTTATGTGTAATCAAATTAAAAATTTTTTTAATTGTTTTTTTAAACTGAAGTATAGGACTAACTTTCCGAGATAGTAGACTTCCAGGTATCTGGTGCTAATGTAATGACTCTTCATTCGAAACTGAGTGGTAGCCAGAGAAACTTTTAATTCGGCATTTGTCAATGGGCTTGGTCTGTGTTCTGCCCCACAAGCTATTTTATCTTTCCGTGCCTAAAGTCCTCAGAAACATGTCTAACTTGCATGAGTGTAGAGAAGGGTGGCATTTTCCAGACATTTAGTTCCATAACATGGAAGACCTCAAACCTCAACCATGCTCCAGACTCACATTAAAGTGCATTCTAATTGGTAATCAGTGCATAAAGAACCAAAGAAAATTTTAATTAAATGCTGTCGTGTGAATTTTCCAGTCATTTTATGGCTGTTGAAATGGTTTTCTTATTTAGTTTAAAGTTCTCTTCCCCAGACTCTGCCCTCCCTCTTTATCACACAGCCCTCTCAAGATTTTGTGCCCATTTGCGCCCGGGTTTGATTAGTGTCAGTAAGCTTTAGGCTGCAGCAGCATCCTCTTAACTCTCTGTTCCCTGTCTCCGAACAGGGAGCTGTGGGAAGGTCATGGACTTTGGGGGCCTGAAGCCCATAGATTAGTTGCTTATATTTCTTTGAGCTCAGTTTCCTCATCCTCTAAAATGGGGCTAAAATAATATTTTGCTGTTGGAAAGATTGTTGTTAAGTGCCCTCCATGGCCCTGAGTCATGGTGACTGGGTACAACAGAATGCAACACTGCCTGGTCCTATGCCCTCCCCTGGCATGCTTGTGGATTGGACCATTGCTTTCTAGAGGGAGGGGTTTTGTTGGCTGATTTTCTGTAAGTAGATCACCTGGCCCTTTTCCTTGTCTGTCTCTAAGAGGAAACACAGCTGAAACGGTTCAGTCCCACCCCACACACATTGGCTGGGAATCGACTCAAGGTCTCCCACGTGGAGGGCAAGTGTTTCGTCACTGAACCAGCCTTGTCTTCTAGAGATAGCCACTGCCATCAGCCAATCTGACCCATCGTGACTTCTGAGGCTGTCATTTTCTCATGGAGTGACTTGTGGGTTTGAACCACTCAACATGCAATCCACTGCTTATTCATCAGCACCCCACGCCTCTTCTCTAGAGATAGTGAATGGAAATGGCTTGGCACAGAGGTCAGGTTATAGTGGTCACTTGATAATTGTGTTTTGAAGCTGTAAAGAGTTGTTTGTACATGATCCTCCTTTTTGTCTTTTAGTGGATGCTCACAGGGATTGTCTTCAGTCATGGCCTTAGGATTAAGGTGTTTCCGCTTGGCCCACCCTGCTGTTTGCAACTCCCTTGCAGCCCTGGCCAGACCTGTTTCAGACGTTACCCTGAAGACAGTGAGTGGAAGACAAAATGACCATAGGCATCCAGCTCTACCGGTTCGCCATTTTGCTACCAAGAAAGCCAAAGGTAGAGACACGGGACACTGACCCACCTCTCCTTTTTCTCATATTGAGCCCTTGACCAATCCTAGCTGTGACGTAGCTCAGATATGTATTGAGTTTCTCTCCTTGCTCACATAAGAACATGGTTCCTCAGCCAGTTCAGTTTATTAGCTAAGAAGGTCACAATTCCAGAGGTGGCATTAGAACTTAGGGACTGTTTTCCTCATACCATACTACCTCCTTATTTGTTCTAGTTGTGGCTCAGAAAATGCCTAGGTTCTTTCTTTTAGTCAGAGTTATTTAGAATTAGAGATATAAATGCCAAGCACACCAGATCAACACACCCTCTCCTTATTGGAAAGATCTACGTTGCAAGTCAAATTAAAACCAGAAGGTTGTTGGGGAAGGGGTTATTAGAGCTGTGGATTTAGATGGATGATCTTAATGGCTTGTGTCATCCAAGAATGAGCCTTTGATGCACCGCAGGCTTCAGCTTAAACGCCACTTCCTCAGGGAAGCCTTCTTTGACCTTTTAGACTAACTAGGTCAGGTCCCCTGTTACATGCCCTTCTGCACACTGTATTTTACCTTTGGGGCACTTAGCACAGTATTAATTAATTAACTAATAATGAATTACTTGTAAGATCGATTGTTGCTTGCTATGTGTCTTCCCTGTTGGACTGCTAAAGACATTCTTTGCCTTCCTCTAATAACCTAATTCAGGGGGTCTGACACATAATATGTATTCAGAAACTTTACTGAATGAATGAATGACAGAAAAGTTTCAACAGATCAACCAGCTTATTGCAGGGAGCTGGATGAGGGAGTCCACTCCCAAGGATGGGGTGAGAAATAGGCTGTTGGCTAATTTCCCCCTGATCTCCTTTTCTACTTTCTTGAAGATCATCCCCTTTCTGCTAATGGTAGCAAACTGCTGAAAGAGCATTCATGCTTACAAGTCTTCTATTCTGTTAATGGTGATAGCTTTTGGACTATCAATGATGCTAGATTTAAAAGAAATTGTTCCCATATGAACTCATTTGATCCTTAAAATGATCCATAATGCCCAGATCACACAATTTCACAGATGAGGAAACTGAGGTACAGTTGCAAGATATTTTTTGTCTATGGTGTGGTGGAAACTGGAAACTTGCAGTTGCTGACACCCACAGCCTTACAGTCTTTTGTTGAGTATAGATCTGGGTTTTTTGGTTGTTTGTTTTTGAATGCCATCATATCTAATTGATACTGAGTACATATAGGTTCTTTTTTTAGGAGCAGTTATGATGTTTTGTAATTTTTTTGCACTTGCTATGTTTTTCCTTGTATACTCCATAACCGATTGCGTATTGTCTCTGTTTGAGCTGCTGTTCTTTTATTTCCTGAATGTTGACTTTCTAGCCAAAGGGAAAGGACAGCCTCAAACCAGAGTGAACATTAACACAACCTTGGTTGGGGACATAATCAACTTGGAAGAGGTGAATGAAGAATTGAAGTCTGTGATGGAAGCACTCAAAGATAATTTCAACAAGACTCTCAATATAAGAACCTCACCAGGTTAGTGACTGAGCCAGTGTTTGGGGGAGGGGAATAGTCAGAGCTGAATGTGACTTCCAGCTTTGCCACTTATTAAAATGATGACCATTTATTTACTCCTCTGATCCTCAGTTTTCTTGGAATACTGTTCCTACCCCATAGTTTTGGACTGGTATTAAATGAAGTGACATATGTAAACAGTCTCATATTTAACACTACATTTGTTTTTATTTATTATTATTCAGCAAGTGTCCCTGTTATGAACTAGACACTGTGCTAGTAGACAATGGTGAACAAAACTCTATGGCTTTTGTTTTTGTGGAATTATCTTTTTTTTTTTAAGGGGGACTGTTGTTATAAACATACTCTTGTGAAAATGGCATGGGCCAGTGGCTGACTTACTCTCACTTTACAAAGGGGAATGGGAAGCAAATGAACATCCACAGCCCAGGGTGGATTCCTTGGAGACAGAGGTCTCATACAGCTTCTACCTCCAACCTTTTTTCCAGTGCTGACACCACTGTCCTGCCCGTGGCACTCTCCACTTCCGTGGGGTTCAGTAATCTGTTGCAATGGCCACATACAATCCCCAGACAACTCTCATAATTATGGGATCTTAATTAAGGAAGTAACAGGGTACATACAATCCAGGATACAGTTCTTCAGTCAGAACAGCTGCTTAGCTATGCCCACAGGCACACCTCTTTCTGGTCCTTGTCCGGTAAGCCCCATGGCCCTTCAGCTTCTGCCCTTCTCAGGTAAGTGTTATAAAGCGCTTTGGTTCTGCCAATAAGTGTCTACAGGCACTTCTCTCTACTAGGGCCTCCTGCCCAAAGGCACTCACTTTTCTCACTCTCTGAGCCAGGAAGCTCCCTGCAGTGTCACTTGCCAGTGTCTTGACTCTGCTGACTATGTTGCAGCCATTTCTCTCACCATTGCATCTCTGCTGTTATAGCTAGTGCTCGTGTGGTCTCTCTCCCTTTATCGCCCTATCTCAGTCTGGGAGTTTTTCAGAGCAGGGATCCTGGGTCCAAGGGATGCACTCTTTCTTGGTGGTCATAAAGTACCTCCTTGCTCTGGAATTAGGGTTGTTTTTTTTAAGCCTAGTAGGATAGCAAAACTGACCAATCCCCTCATTGGAGCTCCGTGCACTTTTATTTGCATGGTCTCATCCTCACGAGGGTGCCGTATACCTTATTTACATTATTAGAGGGCAAGCTGCCCCCACCCTTTTGTAGATCATGCATACATCATTTACATAATTTCATCCAGTTATCTGTGAAAGCTACATAGAGCAGTGGTTCTCAACCTTCCTAATGCCACGACCCTTTCATACAGTTCCTCATGTTGTGGTGACCCCCCAAACATAAAATTATTTTCATTGCTACTTCATCACTGTATAATTTTGCTACTGTTGGGCAAACTCCTTTGGGGTCTGCAACCCACAGGCTGAGAACCACTGACATAGACTCTGGCTAGAAGGGCCATATTAAGGTATTTACTGCACCGTGCCTTTAGACACCTCCAGAAAGTTGGTCTTGCAATCACCGGCAGCTTTAGTCTGATTTTTCCCACATGATAGTTTGTATATCGTGTTATTGTTAGGTGCTGTTGAGTTGGTTCTGGCTCGTAGGAATAGAATTTGTACAACAGAATGAAACACTATCCAGGCGCACACTAGCCTCACAATTGATCTTGTCTGAGCCCATTGTTGCAGCCATTATATCAATCCTCCTTTTCACCGGTACTCTACTTTACCAAGCATGAGGTCGTTTTCTAGGGGCTGGGCCTTCTTGAGAACATGTCCAAAATATGTGAAATGAATCTTGCCAACCTGGCTACTAAGGAAAATTCTGGCTCACTTCTCTCAAAGACAGATTTGCTCATTCTTCTGGCAGTCCATTCAATATTGTTCATCAGCACTGTGACCCAAATGCATTCATTCTTCTCCGGTCAAACATATTCATTGTCCAGCTTTCACATACCTATAAAGTGATTGAAAATACCATGGTTTGGGTCAGGTGCACCTTAATTTCTAAAGTGATATCTTTGCTCTGTAAAACTTTTGCAGCAGATTTATTCAACACATGTATCTTTTGATTTATTGATTATTGCTTCCATTGATTGTCTTTTTAAAATTTTCTTTTAAAAAAATCATTTTACTGGGGGCTCATACAACTCTTATCACAATCCATACATGCATCCACTGTGTCAAGCACATTTGTACATTTGTTGCCCTCATCATTCTCAAAACATTTGCTTTCTACTTGGGCCTTTGGTATCAGCTCCTTTTTTCCCCTCCCTTTCCGCTCCCCCCTTCCTCATGAACCCTTGATAATTTATAAATTATTATTATTTTGTCATATCTTACACTGTCTGATGTCTCTCTTCACTCACTTTTCTGTTGTCCGTTCCCCAGGGAGGAGGTTATATGTAGATCTTTGTAATCGGTTCCCCCTCTCTACCCCACCTTCTCTCCACCCTCCCGGTATTGCCACTCTCACCACTGGTCCTGAAGAGATCATCTGTCCTGGATTCCCTGTGTTTCCAGTTCCCATCTGTACCGGTGTACATCCTCTGGTCTAGCCAGATATGTAAGGAAGAATTGGGATCATGATAGTGGGGTGGGAGGAAGCATTTAAGAATTAGAGGAAAGTTATATATTTCACCGTTGCTCTACTGCACCCTGACTGGCTTATCTCCTCCCTGCTACCCTTCTGTAAGGGGATCTCCAGTTGCCTAAAGATGGGCTTTGGGTCCCCAATCTGCACTCCCCCTCATTCACAATGATATGATTTTTTGTTCTGGGCCTTTGATGCCTGATACCTGATCCCTTCGACACCTCGTGATCACACAGGGTGGTGTGCTTCTTCCATGTGAGCTTTGTTGTTTCTGAGCTAGATGGCCACTTGTGTATCTTCAAGCCTTTAAGACCCCAGATGCTATATCTTTTGATAGCTGGGCACCATCAGCTTTTTTCACCGCTTTTGCTTATGCACACATTTGTCTTCAGTGAACGTGTCGGGAAGGTGAGCCTCATGGAATGCCAGTTTAATAGAACAGAGAGTTCTTGCATTGAGGGAGGCCTAATGTCCTTGTGCTACCTTAATACTAAACCTATAAATATATGCACATAGATCTATTTCCCCATCATCATATCTAAATACATATGTACATGCCTGTATTTAGACCTCTATAGAGCCAAGTAAAATAAAATCCTTGAAAACTTTAATGTTTTCTCCATTTATCATAATGTTGCTTATTGGTCAAGTTCTGAGGATTTGGGGTTTCTTTATGTTGATGTGTTATCCATACTGAAGGCTGTAGTGTTTGATCTTGATCAGTAAGTGATTCAAATTCTCTTCACTTTCAGTAAGCAAGACTGTGTCATCTGCATATCGTAGGTTCTTAATGAGCCTTTCCTCAATCCTAATGTTGAGTACATGTAACTACACCTTCTGGGATTATTTGTTCAACATACAGATTGAATCAGTATGGTGGAAGGATACAGTCCAGCTGCACACCTTTCCTGATTTGAAACCACACCGTATTCCGTATTCTATTCAAACAATTGCTTCTTGGTCTTGATACAGGTTCCTCATGAACACAATTAAGTATTCCGGAAGGCTCTTTCTTTACAAAGTTATCCGTAATTTGGTGTGATCCATACAGTTGAATACCTATGTAAAACACAGGTAAACCTTCTTCTGGAAATCTTGCTGGGAACCAAATGGCTGCAGACTTGCCCATTTGAGGCCTTTTTGTACCCCTGAGCTTGACCAGGAAGATTCCATTTGGGTTAATAACTTCCTGCAAGTGGCTTTTCTAAGTGGGAAATGTCAGAACTGTCTAGGAGAACTGTTTGCAGATGTGATGGAGAGGTGAGTTGTCAGCTAATGGTGCAGGCAGGCAGGAAAAATCCAATTGCTGTTAAATTGGCCTTTTGGAAATTGTCATCATTCCAGAGTCCAGCCTAGGACCCCTCTGAAGGTGTCTGTGGGAGCTTGGGTTGCTCCCACGTCACATCTTGGTTGGGCTGGTTTTAAGGAAATGGAAAAAGATTTCATGAACTTGTTCTTAAGAAAACTAAGTGAAAACTCTACAGCCACATTTAGAAACAGCCCCAGAAGCATTCTCAGATGAGATGAGATCCATTGTGAAGCCAGTAGACTGTTCCGTGCTTTGTCCACCTTTTAGACTGGGCCAGTTCTGCTTTTGCTGACAGTAGAGCGTGCCATTCAATCTCTCCCAACTGTTTGTTTTAAACTTGCTTATTATTTTAGGTATGAAACTGATAAAGTGCTCTGTCTCCCTTGCGCTTTCTGGCTTGTTAACATTCTGCAGCCGAAACCAGAGAACAGTTTGAGAGTTGCTCAGGGAGAAATGTGATACTTAAAATTAGCCAGCAAGCTCCACTCTTGTTGAACTTAAAAAGATGATGGGTCTGGAAAGAGGTTGGGAGTGTAATTTGTTAAACGTTAACCTCTGAGAAAATGAGGGGCAGAAACGAGGCTACGGGAGATTCTCACTTGGGACAGATTGAGGGAAAAGGATTTGATGCATTACGTCGATATGGATTTAGGGAATGGGAGCCACCACAATCACAGACTGAAAAGCCCATGTTGGGACTTAATGTGGCAAAGGATCTTATGGCAAATCAGGAAAGCTGCATTAAGAGCCTTTTCAAGAGGCCTCCCATTGGTATTTCCTTTTTGATTCTTTCTTTTCAGGGTTATGTTTATGTAACATTCTTTGTAGAATGTAAGGCCAGGAAGAGACTGGGTACAGCAGGCTGAACTTAGACAGGCTTTGTTTTTGCCAGATTTTTGGAAATCACCTTTTGCTATCATCTGAACCAGCAGGCACTTTTCCTCTTATGCCGCCATCTGTTCAGGGACTGCTGTCTTCAAGGTAGTTGATTATTAAGCAGTTGTCTTAGCTATGGGCTTACCTGTTTGTTCGTTCTTACTCTTTCTTATCTCTCCTACCCTACCCAATTCATTCATCCAACAAAGCACTATTAAACACTTTTGTGCTGATGAGTTTTTAATAGGTACTGTGGTAGGGTCTCTTATGACACAGTGGTTACATGCTTGGCTGCCAACCAAAAGTTCAGTAGTTTGAACCCACTAGCTACTCCGCAGGAGAAAGATATTGTTGTCTACTTCTGTAAAGATTACAGCTTTGGAAACCTTATGAGTCAGTTCTACTCTGTCTGACAGTGCTGCTGAGTTGGAATTGATTCAGTAGCAACAGGTTATGGCAGGTTACGGTAGAGTCACCCTAAGTTGGGATCAACTTGATGACACACAATGGATATATATAGGAAAGACATAGTCCCCGCAGTCTAGGGGTCTAGCACCTATTGTGAAAGAACAGACAAGTTCACTAACATATGAAACCATTTAGCAAAGCAGATTGGTGATAACCATGGCGTGAAGTCAGACTGGGGTTTTAATGCAGGATCTATTAGTGAAGTGTTCATAGGATGCCCAGAACAACATAAAAAGGGCTTGTAACCCAGCACTGAAAAGTCAGTGTAGGAATAGATGCTACTATTAAAAAACAAACAAAACACTGTTATCAAGGACTGTTATCAAACACTGTTATCAATCCCACAGGACAGGGTAGAGCTGCCCTTGTGTGTTTCTGAGAATGTAACTGGGGGAGTAGAAAGGCCCATCTTTCTCCCCAGATGTTACTATAGCTGACAGTTGAAGAATGAGCAGGAGTTACCTGAGCAAAGGGAGTTCGCAGTTAAAAGAAAATATGTTCAAGGATCTTAAGGCAAGAGCGAACAAAATATATTAGAGAAATTCTAAGTAGGTTACTTTGTTTAAAACATAAGAGAATGAAATAATATTAATAGTTAACATGTACTGAGTTCTGCCGTATGCCAAGACTCAGTTATAAGTGCTTTGCATACACTCTTTCATTTAATCTTCATAGCTGTCCCATGAGATAAGCGTAATTTTTGTGCCCCATTTGTGTATCAGGAAACAGAAGTCTGAAAACTTGAAGGGTTCTGTCCGGAGTTATATAATTGAAGTCAGTGGAGTTGGTATTTGAACCCAGGTCATGTGTCTACAGAATCATGGAGATTCTTATATACCTCTTGGATTTTTCCAGGTCACATCAAGTGGGGTCAACCTTTTGCTTCTCCATGATGTTGAATTTAGTCAAATATGTCAAGTCAGATCTTTGGGCCATAGGATAGTGTTGCATTATTCTAACTGGAATTTTCCAGGAGAATTCCAATTTGTCTAGAAGACCCATTTACCCCCTTTCTCTTGGTGTCTCCAAATGAGCCATCCATGAGTGGGTCCTACTGTGAAGGGCAAAGTCTTTCTCCTCACTCTTGTAGGTACAGGAAATCAGAGAGCTTAAATAATGCCCTTTTCTCTCTGTAACTGCACTTTTATATGCCTGCTTTCTGAAAAGCTTGCCCAGGGTTTATCAGAGTGCAAGTATCAGTGAGAGCAGTGAGATGTAGGGAAGCAGGGAAGTGTTAATTGTGTTGTTTTGTTTCTTGTTTTGTTTTATAAGGTGCTTGCTTTGGAGGGCTTCCAAGTGCCCAAATCAAGGTGGTATCAGGACTGACTGCGTGTTAGAATCGAATGGTTACGTGAAGAGGAACAAAATTGAGGCCTCTCCACAAATCATAGACCCCAAACTCAAGGTCTTTGGGAGCAGAGCGCAGGGATAAAATGTTCCCTGGTGATTCTGATGGACCGCCAAATTTGAGTCCCACTGGTATAAGGGAGAAGGTGTAGTGGATTCAAGAGCTGGGTTTTGAATCAGAAGTTGGGAAGTTCGAACCCACCAGCCAGCTACTTTGTGGGAAAGATATGACAGCCTGCTTCCAAAGATTCCTGCTGCCATCAGGTAGACAAATCTGACCCTGTAGGGCCGAGTCCAATTGCTCCATAGGATTTCTTTATGGAGCAATTTATCTAAATCTTTATGGGAGCAGATAGCCTCTTCTTTCTTCTCTAGGATTGCATGGTGGGTTTGAACTGCTGACCTTGCAATTGTCAGCCAAACACATAACCCCTACTCCACTAGGACTCCTTTCCATAAAGAGTATAGGTTTGGACAACTGAGGGGGCAGTTCTACTTTGTTCTATAAGGTTATTATGAATTGGTATTGACTTCTCAGCATTGGATTTTGGATTTGATATAATTGAAAGAGCTTTGATTGGAATTGGAATTGTGTTGCCCTTTGTTACCTCTATGGTTTGGGGCCAATCATTTAACCTCATGTTTCTCATCTGTATAGTGAGGCGACGTGGTAGCTTAGCAGTTGCACATTGGGCTGTTAACTGCAAGGTCAGCAGTTCAAGACCACCAGCTACCCCATGGAAGAGAGATGAGGCTTTCTACTCCTGTAAAGAGTTATAGTCTTGGAAACCCACGGGGCCAGTTTATCCAGTCCTGCTGGGTCTCTATGAGTTAGAATTGACTTGATGGCAGTGAGTTTTTTAAATAGTGGGGATAGTAATTCAATGTTACAGGGTGGATTTAAGAATTAAAAGAGATAATCTAAACCAAACCAAACTTGATGACGATCAAGTTGATGCTGACTCATAGCGACCCTGTCGGACAGTGTAGAACTACCTTTTGAGTTTCTAAGTCTGTAACTTAGAAACTTAGAATAGGAAGCTCCATTTTTCTCCTAAAGAGCAGGTTGGTGGTTCTAAGTATGGACCTTGTAGATCACAGCCCAACTCATAACCACTACACCACCAGGGCTCCTCAAAGAGATAATAAGAGGTACTTTTTTCTGTGTATGCATGTATAAGGAGGTGGTGGTAGTGTGTTTCAAAAAGTTCATGGAAAATGGAATAAAAAATGATAAGGATTTTTCATGAACATTTTGAAGCTTCTTTGCATTTTACTCCTTGTCGTACACATGGTTGTTTATATTGTTAGCTGCAGTGTCACTTTTCTCCCGTCAGGTACTTATTGTTTGACTAAGCCAAAAGCCGAGGCGCAGAGAAGATAAGGAACTTGCCCAGGGGACCAGCTTTCCCGTGTTAGGACAGAAAGTTCTGTGTCCCTGGATATAGCTCCAGGCAAATCAGGGCCATTAGTCATACTCTCTGCTGGTAAGGAATTCCATCCTAGTTCTGTCAACATCCAAAGGTCTTTCTGTCACATGATCTGCCTCTTCTTTAACCGTCTTGGCATAGCGAGGAGTCCTTACACATTGCAGTCAACCCGCATTTGAATTTAATTGAATCTGAATTAGATAGGGACTTAGATGTGGGGATGCTAAGGTCCCTTGAATTCTAAGAACCTATCGCTTTTTCTTCTTAGGATCCCTCGATCATATCACTGTGGTAACTGATGATGGGAAGCTTGCTTTAAATCAGATTGGCCAGATTTCCATGAAGTCACCACAGCTGATTTTGGTGAACATGACCAACTTCCCAGAGGTAAGATGGCTCACTGAAAGGGTCTCTCTCCCTCCCCTCTTCCGATGGCAGCAGCTGGGTCAGGTCGGGAGGACGTGTTTCTTGAACTTGGGTTGAAAAGAGAGAACCAAATCCCAAACCAAACTTCCTGCCCTTCCAACATCAGGTTTCTTAGACTGTACATCTGTACTGGGGTATCGCCTCAGCTTTCTTCTGCAGAGTGGCCGATGAATTTGAACCACTTACCTTGTGGTTAGCAGCCAACATATAGTCCATGGCACCACTTTGTATCGCTGTCATCCTTGCACCTCGCTGTAGCCACCAGTTAGTTGTCTTTCTGTCCCCCGCCCCCTAAGTCCTGTCCATCCCCAAGGCCTTTGCAGTTCATATGCCTGTCCCTTTGCTTGGAACACTCTGGCCTGGCTAGTTGTTACTCATATTTCCGATCATAGTTTAAATGGCACTTTCTCAGGGAAGCCTTCCTTGTATCACCTCGATTGAAGTGAGTCCACCACACGAAGTTCTCAGACAGCACAGTCCTTTTTCTTCACTGCACTGAACCACAATGAATAATTGTGGGTTTATTTGTATGCTTAGTTTTCATCTCACTTTAACCAGCTTGTAAGTTTGCAAAGTACAGATCACATCTGACATGCATTGTGCCAAGCAACAAGTCTGGCACATGAAGGCACGCAGTAGGTTTTCTTTGAGTGGGTGAATATTTGTCATTAGGTTCAGGGAAGGGAGGCACTCACTCTTGGTGATGCAGAGAAGTGGCAAAATGGGTCAAGAGAACTCTCTACCTTCCCCGCCCTCCTGAACCAACGAGGCTTCTCTAAGGCCTCTCTTGTTCGTCTAATCCATGGCTTCCAGCCAGTTCATTCCAGTTAGACCCCCTGCTGCAAAATTGCCCTTTCACCTCAGAATCTATATTGACCAGACCCCAGTTAATATTGGATGTACACATAAGAATCGTCTAGGGATTACATTGTTTATAGATTCCCAGGTGATTCTTGTTAAAATGAGGTCTTGTTCAAGTGCAGTATAATGGGTGGTGGAAAGACAAATTCCCAGCAAGAGAGTGCACTGGTTCTGAAGCGTGATCTAATCCCATGGGCCCAACAGGCCAGTTTAGGGACCAGCCCCCTAATTGCACAGCTTGAAGACCTCATCTGGCAGATTGCTTTTCAAAGCCAGCCACTTCTGTTATTTAACAGCAAATCGCTGCACTGAGGAAGCAGCTGACTGGCCCCAGAACATTAGGAGGCAGGAGGAGGTTTGAACAGCTTAACTTGTCCTTAGAAAGTCGGAGTCTATATTTTTTTAACCAGAGCATCTCCTCACTTCTCCGGGTTGGTATTCTGTGGGGTTTGAAAGAAACCTTCCAGCATCTCGGTAGAGAGGTTCGTGTACCGGGGCAGAGGGAGAGGAAGTGTGAGCTGCATTGTCCTTTGAATTCTTTTATCTCATCTGGTGTATGTATATATTAAACACAGAACTCGAATAAACATTTCCTTCCTCCAGCTTAGAAACTGTCCATCGAGTACCCAGGTCCATAGCTTCAAAATGCTGAGCTAATCCTCTCTGTGTTTATGTAATTCCTTTCTGGTCCACAGGCATTTGGCTTTCTTTCCAAACCTGAGCATTTCTGTCGTGCTATGGTGACATGATGCAGATTTGCATGCATAATCTTTTTGAATGCATTGAAGACAGAACACTGTGTTGCATTTGTTTAACATGTGTCCTGCTTGATGAATGATACACACAGTTGGTGCCTTCCATAAACTTGCAAGCAGCTAGGGTTGATGATAGGGAAGCAAAGGAGGGGATCAAAACCACAGCACGATTTGAACAAAACAAGGCAAGTGGCAAACAAAATTTGCCAGGGTTCGTGACCGCTCTTAGGCAGGAAAGGAGTGAATGTATAATGTGTCCACTGTGTGGCCAAGCACTTCTTCATGTTTGTGTCATGTGATCACACAGCTACTCTCTAAAATTCTGCATTATTTATTCCATGTTACAGATGAGGCAACAGGCCCAGAAAAGTAAAATATCTCCTCAGGTTCCCATTCTTGTAATGTAGAGTGCCAATGTTTGAATAAAGATCTGTTTGACTTTAAGACCTTTTACCATTTATTCAGTAATTCAACAAATATTTTTGAGTTGCTGCAATTTATTAAGCTCTACTTGAGGTGCTGACTCAAAGTGACTTTATAGGACAGGGCAGAACTGCCTCTGTGAGTTTCTGATATACAGTAATGGTTTATGAAGTAGGAAGCACTGTTTTTCTCCTATAGAGCGGCTGGTGGTTTCAAACTGCTGACTTTGCGGATTGCAGCCAATATGTAACCACTAGGGAACCAGGGCTCCATAGGTTTAGCATAGACTCAGCGGTAGTGAGGGTTTTGTTTGTTTGTTTGTTTGCTTGTTTGTTTTTGACTTGAGGTACTGTGACATCACAGCTAATAAGACTGACAAGGCCTCAACATTCTAGAGACTCATTGGGAAATAAAGGGAATGACAGACTAATAATGACAAAGATTCTAACAGTCATGCTTCCATCTTTAGGAATCTGGCCTAAGAATGTGTGTAGTGCTTCTTGTTCTACCATCCAAGGCACAACTATTGGTCCCTAATCTCCAGGAGCAACAGAGGAAGAGGAGTCAGAAATACATGGACTGTGTGGCTAAGTGCTCCCCTGAACACTGCCTCCAGTGCCATGAGACCAAAAGAAACTAGATGGTCCTTGGCTAGCATTACTGAACATTTTGATCAAAGATTTTATAAAAGAATCCTGATCAAAAGGAGGGAAACGCAGAACAGAATTAGAGGTTTTCATGGACTGTAGACATTCTAGAGGAGCCCTGGTGGTATAGTGGCTACATGTTGGTCGGCAGTTTGAAACCATCAGCAGCCTCTCGAGAGAAAGACTGGGCTTTGTATTCCCCTAAACAGTTAGTTGCAGTCTTGGAAACCCACAGTGGGGTCGCTGTGAGTCAGCATTGACTCAATGGCAGTGAGTTTGGTTTGGAAAGTTGTAGCAACACAGAACATGGATGCACCCCTGAAACACACCCTGACATAATCTTTAAACTTTAAACCAAAATTATCCCCTGAAGTTGTCTTAAAACTGAACAATAGTTTAAAAGTGTAAAAGGTCTGCCTGGAACATTATGTTCTTTTAAGAACTACTTATATGGCATCAAATTGACAACAGAAACTCAAAAGATTTGACAGGAACCATGGGGCGTGGTAAGTGTATGTTAATGAGGGGGGGCGGCTCCCAAAAGGAGCGTGAATGGCTGCACACCCAACGCTTGTCACCAATGTCACTAAAGTGTACATGGGACCTGAAACTGGTGCATGTTTTGTTATGTATGTTCTCAATAACAAAATGCTGTAAAGTGTAAAAAAGCAAAAAATATTTAAACTGTTAGCAAGACACACACACACCCCTGCAAAAATTAAAGTTGCCTTGACTTTAAACGCTCTAGAACTTGTTCACCTGTTCATAAGATTTTATAATCTTTTCTCCTTTGGCATAATTAGTTTATATCAATCATAGACATTGCCGATTGGTCACTCTTTCTTGACCGACCCCAGATGGGGGACTCCGATGTTTCTGGCACAGCACTCCAAGCAGTCACCACCAGTTGATCCAGTGTGGTCATTTGAGAGCCATTGAGTTCATGCCAATTTATAGCGACCCTCTAGGACAGGGTAGAACTATCTCTGTGTTTCCGAGATACAGAGTGTGGGAGTAGAAAGCCCTGTCTTTCTCCTTCAGAGCGACGGATGGTTTCAAACTGCTGACCTTGCAGTTAACAGCTCAACTGGTAAGCAGTATGCCACCAGGACTCCTAGCTCTTCAGAGAAGGGATTGCACTTTCATTACATGTGGATTTTTCCCTTCAGTAGTTCGGGTGGTAGTTTACTAACCCCTTGCGGGCATGTTGGAACCCCCACAGGACAAGCTGTGTTTTAGAAGCCAGTCTAGTGTCATGTTACTCTTTTTGCTTATTTCTCTTTGCCATCCAGAAGTCCTAAATAAAGATGTCTCAGTGTTCTAGATTGGTGTTCACAGCTTGCTCCAGTGCCTACAGTGGAAGGTTGCGTGTAAACACTGGGTCAGGCAGTGAGAGGTGGTGATGGTAGGTAGGATGGTTAGCACTGGGTAATCAGTTATTGGATGGGAGACCAGGCTACCTCTCTAATGTAACTTGGCCATACCCTTTATTGGAGGCCTGGTGATGCAGTGATGAAAGCACCTCACTGCCAACCAAAAGATTGGTAGTTCAAATGCACCAGCTTCTCTGAGGGATAAAGATGTAACAGTCTGTTTCTAGAAAGATTTACAGCCTTGGAAACCCTATGGGTCCATTCTACTCTTTCTTTCAGGGCCATCGTGAGCCAGAATCCACTCAGCGACAGTGAGTTCAGTTTCTGATATACCCTTTATACAGTACACTGGATCTGATTCCAGATTATTTGGACAATAAATTAAGGTAGGGCATTTGGAAGAAAATATAACCCAAGCAGCTTCCTTGGGCACACAGTTGAAGAGCCTAGAGTTTGCTTTTAGCTCTATTAGTAACCCGAAGTGTGATGGGTGGGGTCCTTACTCTCTTGGGCTATCAGGGAAGATCATGTGTATTTTCAGGGATGTGACCTTATTCCAAAGGCCCCCTGGTATACAACAAAGGGTTGTATTGGATTCTGTAAAAGATGTGTTTATGGCTTTGAGAATCCATGGTCAGCAGTGCCATTTATGAATTTACTATTTTAAGCTGTGACCACACTGTCAGAGAGCTGTGTACAGGCTTCCGAGGAGATGATTCATCTACATGTGGAGGTTCTGGCTTGTCTTTGACTTATACCTCATACGGATGAAGAATTAAGGTCATTTTAGAATTAAATGGATATTTTTTTAGGTGCACCTGTAATAAAAAATTGAGCAACTAAAATCCATGTGCAGTCACCATCACTCATTTAAACCAGAAACTGCTAGAAGCACTCAGGCCAAAAGCTAGTCCCATAAACTTAGAGCTCTTCCTATGTGGTGTGGCTGGGCTCTGGTCAAGCCTCAGATTCTTTGGAAAATGTCAGAGGCCTTGTTTGCATGAATTCCACAGTTGTGCCAATGAAAGCATTTCTGTCTTCTTGTTGCCCTTTAGGCATACATGCCAGGTGTGGTTATGAAATTGCTTGAGTGTAAAGTGAGTGTTGGGGACCAGCCTCCCCACAACCGAATGGGTCCAAGGGAGCAGTTGTGTAATTGAGGACTAAATTAAAGAGACATCAGACAAGACAGAGCATACAAGGGCTCACCTCTCAGTCATTACTTTAGGAGCCAGGTTCAAACAGAGAGCATGAGTAATATAATCTCACGACTTTATATAATCTGGGGCATGCAGGCCACGGTAAACACATATGTAACAGGAAGGGGTTGTATAATAGGCATATACATAACAGGAGGGGGACGCGCTAGGAGTGTACACACAATAGGAAGGGGAGGCACTAGGGCCATACATTTGACAGGAAGGCACAAATGTAACAAGATGAGTGGGCTCTAGAATCAAGATGGCAGCCTAACCTTGGTCTTCTGAGTTGGTTTGACTGTAGGTATCTTTGGGCATTCCTTCAGGGGAATAATCCTTTATCAGAAGGGAGTGGGTCCTACTCAGACTGGGACAGACAATAGGGTCTGATGGCTCTAGATGGCAGACAGCCTTCAGACAGATAACCTTCAAGCAGTTGATCTCCAAGTATAAATTCAGTGACCATGTGTTTGCAAACAGCACCTTAAATTTAGCATTACTATGGGGCACATTGTAGGGAATAACTTTTACTTAGGAGAATGTGAGTGGGATGCAACTCCCACCCACAAACGTGGCTTCCTCCCAGGTGTGTGTTGGTGTGTGTGTGTGGGGGGGGGGCTTGGCCTCCCAGAGTGCTTTACGTATGCATATTGAGATTTTGCCCTCGTACACTCTTCCTGGTTCTGTCTCCCATAGGTGAGATACTTTGGGATATCAACATACTAATGTGTCCTCTGCTTGTTAGAGAACAAAAAACTGTCAGAGAAATGCAGGGCAGGGCAGCAGTGGATCAGCTAAATGATGACTGCAGCTCAGCCTTGTTTGGGTGTTTTGTGCATTCGTACCTTTTTTTTGAGGTTAAGAACGGCTTTATTAGGGTAGGGAAAGAGCTCCCTGGAGGGGAAGGGAGAGCAGAGAAAGGGACAGGAGCATTTTGAGCTCCCGGGTGGGTTCCACAACCCAATGAGTTAGGTCACGGAAATCTCGCCCGATGGTAGGGCAGTGGGATAATTGTAGGATTTGAGTCAGGGAGATGTGCAAATGAGGTGAAGAAAGCTGATGGTGCTTGCACCTGTAAGGAGAAGGGAGGCTTGCTTCCTGGTGCTGCACCTGCAGAGTCTAGTCTTCCACAGACCAGCTTCTTGGCATGTGGGGGAAGAGGCTGCACAGTCCAGCTCTGGCCTGGGGGAAGGGGTGGCACAGTCCAGCAGGTTATCTTCTGGGAGAGCCGGGGCAAGGTGCTGCACCGACCATGCCGGGCCCAAACACGTAACACCTCCGAGAGAACCTCAGTCTCCTTGAGTTGGAATCCACTTTTTTGCACTGGGTTTGCTCCGTTTGGGTTTGCATCAGGTTTCTCCTGCTCAGCCCCGCTTGGTGGTCCACGTGGAGAGAGGGGGAAGGGAAGGAGGACAGGAAAGGGAACAAGGGAGAGAGGACAGGAGAGGAGAGAGGGAAGAGAGGCCAGGGAGGGAGAGATCAGCGAGCGAGCGCATTCTTACCTTTTTATAATAAATAAAACTCACTGCCATCGAGTTGATTCCCACTCATAGCAACCCTATAGGGCAAAGTAGAACGGCCCCTGTGGATTCCCGAGAGTGTAAATCTCACAGGACTAGAAAGCCTCATCTTTCTCCTGTGGATCAGCTGGTGGCTTGGAACGGCTGATCTTGCAGTTAGCAGCCTAGCTTATAGCTACCATACCATCAACTCGCCTTGATTTGTACTGTGTGCCAGATGTGAAACAGGACGTGGCGCCCATCTATTGAATTCATTTTGAAGTAGAGCTACAACAGGTGACCTTTCCTCAGGCTGAAATGGAGGCTCAGAGTGGTCAAGTCCACGGTCCCATGGTCAGCCAAGCTGGGAGTGGATCTGAGATCCCTCTGACTCCAGAGCCCAGGCTTTTCCCTACTCTGCCACACTCCCTCTCCTGCTGTAGAGACCTGTTGCTCATTTCAAAACATGGGTGACTTTGGTGAGTGTAGATGCGAATGAGTTAAATAGATTTACCCATTCCAAATCGGTACTGCTATATTTTGAGTGTAAAATGTCAACTGGAATTTTTAACGTATAAAATCTTTCATCTGTCTTTACACCAATCTTTGCACAGAACAGGCTCCTCCCTTGAGGATTTATTGTGGTTTTGATCTGCGTTGCCTCAAACCATTGAAATCTTTTCAAAGAAGCAGAGCTGTTTTCTTTTTATTTTTTCTTCTTTTTGCTTTCTTTTCCTCCCGCAGTACACTGGTACCAGGAGTGGACAGAGTTTGCTATTCAGCTTGATCAAAGCACTCTACACCAATGTAACTTCCTGATCTTACTGGTAACAGAACTAAATGTTTCCATGTTCTGCCAAGATGGTTTGCCAGTTATCGACAGAGGGCTTGCATCTGGTAATAATTATTTACTAATTCTGTTTACCTTTTGATCTGGTTTTCAGTGTACAGCTGCAGCTATCAAGGCTATAAGAGAAAGTGGAATGAATCTGAACCCAGAAGTGGAAGGGACGCTAATTCGGGTGCCCATTCCCAAGTAAGTTTGGCTGAAGTTCATCTATTTCAATGAAGTGGGGCAGTTGTCCTTGGATGGAAACCAGCAAGCCATGATTCTGCTGGGTCAATAGCACACTTTACCTGTATCTTTCCTCCTGGAAAACCTCAGCGTCTTTTGATATTCCCTTTATTAATTTCAGAAGTATTTATTGTGTACCTACTGTGTACCAGGTGCTGGGGATATAGTAGTAAACCTGACAAAATCCTTGTTCTCATGTTGTCATTCTAGATAATGAAGAAGAAGAAAAAGGCAATAGGTTCCAATAGACTGACATAGAGAAAGGTCATTGTGGAAGGGGCAATTTCAGCCTACCTGGACTTTTTTTTAAAATCATTTTTTGGGGGCTCATACAGCTCTTATCACAATGCATATATCCATCCATTGTGTCAAGCACATTTGTACATATGTTGCCATCATCATTTTCAAAACATTTTCTTTCTACTTGAGCCCTTGGTATCCGCTCCTCATTTTTCCCCTCCCTCTTTCACCCTCCCTCCCTCACGAACCCTTGATAATTTATAAATTATTATTAATTTTTCATGTCTTATACTGACTGATGTCTCCCTTAATCCACTTTTCTGTTGTCCATCCCCCAGGGAAGGGGTTTATATGTAGATCATTATGATCAGTTCCCCCTCATACCCCCCACCTTCCCCTTTCCCTCTTGGTATCACTACTCTCAATTATTGGTCCTGAGGGGTTTATCTGTCCTGGTTTCCATGTGTTTCCAGCTCTTATCTTTACCAGTGTACATGCTCTGGTCTAGCTGGATTTGTAAGGTAGAATTGGGATCATGATAGTGGAGGCCGGGGGTGGGGGGGTGCATTAAAGAACTAGAGGAAAGTTGTATGTTTCATTGGTGCTATATTGCACCCAGACTGGCTTGTCTCTTCCTTGTGACCCTTTGTAAGGGGATGTCCAATTGTCTACAGATGGGCTTTGGGTCTCCACTCTGCACTCCCCCTCATTCACATTGATACGATTTTTTGTTCTGGGTCTTGATGCCTGATAACTGATCCCTTCAGCACCTCATGATCACACAGGCTGGTGTGCTTCTTCCATGTGGGCTTTGTTGTTTCTCAGGTAGATGGGCACCTTGTTTATCTTCAAGCCTTTAAGACCCCAGACACTATATCTTTTGATAGCTTGGCACCATCAACTTTCTTCACCACATTAGCTTATGCACCCACTTTGTCTTCAGGGATCATGCCTGGAAGGTGAGCATCACAGAATGCTGGGTTATTAGAACAAAGTATTCTTGCATTGAGGGAGTACTTGAGTAGAGGCCCAATGTCCATCTGCTACCTTAATACTTAATATATAAATATATGTACATAGATCTATTTCCCTATCATATATAAATATATTCACATATGTACATGCCTGTATTTAGACCTCTATAAATGTCCTTTGCCTCCTAGTTCTTTCCTATATTTTCTTTTACTTTCCTCTTGTCCCACTATCATGTTTGTCCTTCATTCCGGGTTCAGTAATTCCTCTCAGTTACATTGCCCTTGATCAGGCCCTACCAGGCATCCTACACTCTCCTCACCGTCAATTTTAGATCGCTTGTTGTTCCCTTGTCCCTGGGTTTATTAACACTCACTTCCTTTCCCTTGCCTCCCTTTCTCCCATGCCCCCCCCCCCCCCCCATCGGTCCATTGTTTTCTCATCCAGAATGTTTATCCTGCCTATCCCATCTAGATAGACATGCAGAGACAATAATAAGCACAAAAACAAGACAGAGGAAAACAAAACAACAAGAGAAAAGCCTATAAATAGTTCCAGGTCTGTTTGTTGACCTTTAGGAATGTTTTCCAGTAGAGTTTGATGGGATGCCACACCCTGGCCCCAAAGTCTATTTTTGGTATTACCAGAGACTTCATTACTTTGCTCCCCTTTCCCTAACAGGACTTTTAAGAATTAGCATTTGAGCTAAGAGTTAATGAGGAGGAAGAGCCAATCTAGGTGGGAAAGCTTTCTAGGTATATCAGTGAACAGGCTTGATCAGTGAACAGAGGCTGTTCATTTGGACTTTATGGACCAGTGTGAAGGGTTTGGATTTTGTTCAAAATGTAATGTAAAGGGATGCCGTTGGGAGAGATTTAAGCAAGGGGAGTGGAGATCTCTCTTGCTGCTGATTAATGGATGGAATGTTGGAGATAGTGACTATAGAGATATTAGTTGAAAGATACGTTCAGCATTCTAGGTGAGACATCAATTTTCTCAGATTCCATAGCAGACAGTTAGTTTCTCCTTTTGTACCCTTGGTCAACTTTGTAAATCTGGATGCTATAAGACTGCTTTACTGTTAATATAATCATCTTTTAATTCTCCAGGTTGGAAGCTCTTTGAGAATAGGAGGGCCATTTCTTAATTATCTCTAAGTCCCTATTCCTATAGTTTCAATCACATGATAGCAAGTGCCTAGTACACCTGATTGTTGAGTTAATGCACTCAGTCATTGGACAAATATTTATTGAAACACACCCCACTTGTCAGGCACACTCCTAATTGTTGGGCTATAACAATAAGCAAAACAGATGACAAAATGTTCCTGCCCTCGTGGCACTTACATTCTAGTTGAGGAAGCACAGTAAACAGAGCAGGAAATAAAAATATAATGTAATGTCATGTGGTGATAACAAGGATGCAGAAAAATGAGCAGGATAAGGGAAGAGCATTGAGGTGGGTCACTGTAGATTGGGAGGTTCAGGAAGGAAGTGACGCTTGAGCTGAGACCTTCAGTGAAACAAGTGGTTGCAGCTTTCAAACAGCTAGAAAGGAAATGGAGTACAATTGCTGAGCATCTTATTGTGCCACACACCATCCTGTATTCCTTCAGTTACACTGTCTCGTTTTTCATACAATCTCTGGGAATTAGGCTTATTTCAGGTATGGAAATTTAGACTCGGAGATATACAGTAGTAACCGAGGTCACATAGCTTTTCTGAAACTGGGATCTGATTCCAAAGCACCTTGAAGGACGTATGCTAGCAACAAACATCTCTGCTGATCCTTGCCTGCCTGTGTCCAAAATGGGCTATCCTGTTTTGTTGTGTCCTCAGTACTTTGCAAGACTCTGAAATCGTGTGAATTGGGAATAATATCATTTAGTGTTTAAGAACTAGGTTGAGCTGGGTTTAAGTCTAGTACCAAGTGGTTGGTTAGTTCATTCACTTGTTCAGCAATGTTTCTGATGATGTGTCACATGGCAAACTCTACGCTAAGTGCTGGGGACCCACAGCCATGGTGCTCACCCTCATGGAGCACGTGCCAGGCAGGTGTTCATATTAACTCCAGCTCGGCCATCCTCATGCAACTCGCTGTTACCTGTAGTTCACGGAAGAACAAAGTTCAGAGGAATTAGGGGACTGGATCACATGGTGAGCAAGTGACAGAGTCAAGGTTTGAATTCTGGGTTTTGTTCTTCTGTTACCAATACACAGACTCTTTCTCCTGTAATATGTATGTATGTATACACACACACACACACACACACACACACACAATCTTTCAAGTCAGTGTAAAGAAAACAGAAATCTTCACAATTGGACCAATAGACAAAATCATGTTAAATGGAGAAAAGATTGAAGTTCTCAAGGATTCCATTTTGCTTATATCCATAATCAATGTTCATGGAAGCAGCAGTCAAGAAATCATACTACATACATACTGGTTAGACAATATGCTACACAAGATCTCTTTAACCTGGCAAAGAATAAAGATGTCACATTGAAGGTTCAGGTGAGCCTGACCCAAGCCGGGGTGTTTTTCTTCGTCTCCTCGGAAAGCTGGACAGCAATAAGGAAGCATACCGAAGAATTGAGGTATTTGAATTACCGTGCAGTCAGGAACATTGAAAGTCCCATGGACGGTCAGAAGAAGTACAACCAGATGCTCCTTAGAAGTGAGGTGGTAAGACTTCATCTCATGAGCTTGAGACATGTTCTCAGGAGAGACCCGTCTTTGGAAAAGGACATCAGGTTGGGTAAGTAGCAAAAAGAAGGAAGAGCCTCGAGGGCCTTACTTGGCACCGTCAGTACACCAGTGGGCTCCGCCATCACAGCACCTGTGGGGATGCAGCCCAGGCAGTGTTTCGGTCTGCTGCGCTTAGGGTTGCTTTGCGGTGGAACTGACCTGATGACACCTAAGCTACCACGTAACATACTACCTCTCCGTGTTCAGTGCTAAATGGAACATGCCAAATGTCCTGGCATGTTTTAGAAACAAGCTTTGAGATCTGCAGGCCGAGTGTGTAGTTGTTAGTTGTCCCAACGGGGCTAGAGTGGAACTGCTCCGTGAAGTTTTCAGGGCTGTGACCTTTCAGAAGCAGATTGCCAGGATGTTCTTCCAAGGGGTTTCTGGGTGGGCTTGAACCACCAACCTTTGGGGTATTCATCCAACACTTCACTATTCGTGCCACCGTGGGACTCCTGTTTGCAGGTTCATTTTCTAGATCCTCCTCCCTTATGAACTTGGTGAAACCTTGGACAAGCCACTTAACCTCCCTGAATAGGCCAGATGAAGGGGTTGTTCGCAGTGGCCTGTCAGATCCCTTCTGGATTTCCAGAATTCTGTGGTGCTGTGACTTGATGTAGCTAAGTGCTCATTGCTGACTTGGATTCTTCTTAGAGCAGCCCGATTATGTATCACATTTTTCTTTCGAGGATCTAATTGACACAGTGTGCATTCTGCAGCCCCACAGGAACTAGCAGTCACCCTTAGTGCATTGTATTTCAGTGCAGTTTGAAGGATCAGTGAGTTTCCCTTGAATTTCCAAGGACATGGGGGTCTGTTACATTATATTTTACATTATTTTATGTTGGTTAATGAGCATGATTCAAGAGAAAGTTAACAGACCCTAACCGTCTGCTCCTGCAAGCCTCTTTTTTCCTGTACTTTCTTCCCTTTGACAAGGTGGTGGGGTTACGAGGCCCCTGACTGAATTACATGTTTGGTAGTTTTCCAGATAAAAG